GAGCACAGGCGCTTCCGGAAACCAGCGGTCCTCGTCGCCTGAATGCACGACCCCACGTTGGCGACCGTCGCGGGAGGGCAACCCCGCCACGACGGGGTGTGCTTCGTGGGCACGGTTATCAGGCCCGCAGGGCGTACGCAAACGATGGTAGTATAAGCTTTTTGAATCGGCCAAGCGACGGCGTCTACGTTGGGGCGAGTCAGAGCGCACCGCTAATGGCCGGCGCAGTAGCGCTGGCAGCAAGGGTATAGTCGGCGATCGACGAAAAGGGCTGGGGCGGGCAGATCGGCTGCGGCGGGCGTCAGGGTTCCCACAATGCGTGAGCCGGACTGCGTATTGCCATGACATTATTGTTCGGGGAGACAGACGAGAAGCACGAGTCGACGAGGCGCATAGGTCGAGTCATCCTTTTGGAGCGGCGGGCTGGATCGCAGCCCAGTTGCGGCGTGCGGGGACGGTTGTTCTTGTTTAGACTGCTGCTCGGCGGAATTACTACGTATGTTATGCAAATGGGTGTACAAATAAATGCGGGTTTACAATCTGATGAACACTGAGCTCTTTTTATCCAAAATTTCACATTTATTTTTTGAAAACAATACTTCATGGTGGGAATCACACATTTGACTGATGCTCAAAAGATTTGTTTTAAGGCCATCAGCAAGTAATGCATTTTCAAGTTTGGGAAGACCAGTGGGCCACTAAGGGTGGCAATTTGGTAATAAGTCCAGTTCATGCAATTTAACATGTTTAATCTAATTTAATCATACCTAATCAGTTTTCAGATAATCATACCATAAAATCACATTAATTATGAGGATCCTAAAACATCAATCAATTCCCGGTTCGGCCGCTGACAAGGCCTTCAATTAGCAGTTTAAACGTAAAATACGAACAGATCAAATAATCAATCAAACAGATAGAATACAAATTAACATACATACTCAGTCAATTCAGTTCCAGTTTTCAGTCAATCAGTTCAGTACTTTATTCAGTTCACTTATCAGTCATAATCAGTTCAGTTATTAGTCATAATCAGTTCAGTTATTAGCCATAATCAGTTCAGTTCAACGGTAATAGTGTTTATCGGTAAGCAGTGGTGAGGGTTATTACAGAACTGGGCCAATCGAAAATGAGTATGCTTGACGATACATATCAACATGAAAAAATAGTTCAACAAATGAATTCAAATTCTTTCTACTCCTAAAAATTACAGTAACAGCATGTTGATATGGATACCCATTTATTTCCTATTTTCAACGTGAACAAGTTCTCAACCCAAGATCAACCATAGCCAAGGGAAAACAATGCACCTCAAACACATTATCATATGATAAACTTGTTGGAGAAAAAATGTTTTAAACCATTAATATTTTGTGCTTTAATTAATGTAGGACCCATACATTATTTTAGGTGGGTCAATGTAGCAATTTTATTTCTTCTTACATGGTGAATAAGAGTATGTTGTATGGTTGTTAAAACCATTAATGAGTGAATGAGAAATCCACTCATGAACATAAACTTTGTAAGGAGGGGAGTTATGGACCGAGATAGGCTCAATCTAAAACACACACGTGCGGGTGTGGGTTGGGTTAGGTTGGGTTGGCACTTATAATTTTTGGAGAAACCAGTATTGGAAAAAAAAAAAATCTGAATTTCAGTTTTTTCAAATCTTGGTCCAACAATTGAATTTCAATTTTTCAAATCTTGGTCCAACGGTCACTTTCCTTGACCGAACAGTCAAATAAGTGACTGTTGCTTGCTACGGTTTGTGAAGTATATAATGGCAATGCAATCTCTCATTAGAAAACCATTTTTTGATTGGATCCTAGTTCCTTCTTTTTTATTTTTTATATTTTTTATTTTATGTCTTCTCGTGGCAGTGGTCAAAATCATCTTCATCTTCATTTTTTTTATTATTTATTTTATTTGTTTGTTGATAGAGGACTTGTAACATCCTTATTTTTGAATATTTTAAGCTAAATTAATATAAAATAGTTAAATTAATACTAAAAAAAAAGAATATTTTTCTAAGTGTAGGTGTTAAAATGTAATTTAATTTAAAATTAGGGGCCTTATTATTATCAAAAAATAACAGTATAAGTAATATACATTTTTGGTACAAACTAAACATAACCATGCAATTATTTAACATTTGTGGGCCAAAGTAGAATTGATATCTATTAAAATGAGTTGTAAGCTAAAGAGGTTGGCTCATCCTGAAACAAGGACGTGGCAATTGGTGAGATAAACAACATGGGAAATCTAAGGAGCAAGGATCCTCTAAAGTTCTTTTTTTTCTAAAATTTTTTAGAGTGGTGTGTTGTATGGTTGAGATTTAATAACAAGTCATATCAATTTTTTAGCATTAAATCTCACCAATACAACACACCACTTTAGGAAACTTTAGAAAAAAAAACTCTAGAGGATCCTTGGTGAATCTAAGGGCTAGAGTCTATATACCATAGCTTGCATAAATCAACAATAACTTGTATGAATCAGCACAATTAGCCAATTATACAAGGGACTGGGCTGGTAGCAAATAAACCAAATCGAAAAAAAAAGAAGAGAAACACACGAAATAGTAAGAGGAGGAATTCGGAGGGATCGGGAAAAAGAAATTAGTAAGGGTCAGTATTAAAGTGAGTAATATTCAAGGTTTCAAAATGCGGTGTTACGTAACGGTTGCAGCGGTAGGCACCAAGCGTTACCCCCGATTTTGTGGTGTGATTGAGATTCACAGGTGTATCGGCCGTTACAGCCGTCCTTGCGGCCGTAACGGCCATAACGCCCGTAACGGTGCCGTAACGGCCGTAACGCCCGTTATGCACCGTTACACTCTTTTTTTAGCTGATTCTTTTCCAAAAAAAACAAAAGAAAAGGCTGAAAAACTATGGATACTATTGTACATACCTTTGTTATGATTGAACATATTTTGTCTTTCCTCTTTTCAGCCCGTGAAAAACTTTGAGGGGAGAATACATCCACAAATTTTCCTCTTTTTCAGAAGACATCCACAAATTTTCAGATCTTCAGATCTGAAAATTGCAATCGATTCAAATCTTCAGATTTATAAATTCTCAACCATCTAGTTTCTGATAAAAAAATAAAAAGAGTGGTTCATGGGAAGATAAAGATAGAGAGAAGAGGAAATATGGATGAGTTAGAGATAGAGAGAGAGAGAAGAGAGAAGAGGGAAGAGATGAATTTGTGTTGAAGTCTTCAAGGCTACCTCTGTGTTGAAGACGAAGAACGTTTGCCTGTAAATGACTTTGTGCCGACGTTGAAGACAAAGAACATTATCTCTTGCCTTTTTTTTTTTTATATTTATTTTGTTTGTTGGCTTGGCTGCTTCTCCGACTATAGCTTCAGACCATGGGAACATATATAATCAATTGCTTTTCATTGGTGATCTCCAACTGGTATTTTGATTTTGTTTTTGTTTTTGTATTTTTTTTTTTTAACAATGATTTTCGGCGTATAAAGCCTAAAAAATTTATGGTGATATATTTAACAATTTTAATTTAAAAATATATATAGAGAGAGAGCTATGCACTTACTTTTAGCATTTTATATATAATAATTATTGATTGATTTTTTCATATATAATATCTAAAAATCATAATACCTATAATTATATTAATACATCTTATATATATATATATATATATATTAGTTTTCATTGATTTTTTTTTCCTTGCATGCTATTTTTTTTTTATAGTAATTTTTTTAATATTTTAAGATTTTTTATTTTTGTTTTTACTTTTTAGATGCACGTAATATAATTCTTATCTGAATCATATTTGCATCTTAATCACGGCAACATATTGATAATTTGGATTTTCACATACCATAATTACTACACTCTAAGGGTATGTTTAATTATTAGAATTAATAGTGAGGGATTAATAATCCATAGATTAGTGTAGGATTGGTTATCTAGCTGGATTGATGAGATATATAATTCCCTCTTGTCCATGTTTGTTTTGTAATAAATATATAACCTCAATTATATGTTTGTTTTGCATTATTAGTTGTAACATTAAAAATTCATCAATTTTGTTAGATAGAATGTCCATTGAAATCTAATCCGAATAATAAAACTTACAACCAATGAAATAATGTGAGTCTCTGTTAGAACCCACAAATGTGTATGTGTTTAAATTAAATGTATAAATTAAATAAACAATAAAATAAAATAATTATATAAATTATTTTCCGAATTAAATACTTACAGAAATTAATGTCGAGGCTTGTGTTGGACAAAATCTCCTTAAAGTAAATTTCGCCCTCGCTCTGGTGCTTCGAGATATAACTGGCGTCTACTTCCTCGAATGTAACGATTAACACTTGATTTTACAGCACTATAAAATCAAGTTTGGCAAACCAAACAATGTTGTAACTCTTTCTCTTTCTTTTCTTAAAAATAAATACAGAAACAGATGCAGAAGCAATAGAGGACGAACAGAACAAGAAAGGGAAGAAGTCTGAAAATTTTCGGATGCAAAATGAATTGCTGGAGCAGACTTTATGTAAGTAGATTGGTGGCTATTCGAACAGGTGCCAACAGATCGGCAACTGTTCGGATAGATTTCAACAGATAGAAAATCTATTTGAACTGCTTGGACAGTTCCAGATCTGTCCGGGAAAGATTCAAAAGGTTCAAACCCGTTCAGGTGTGTTAGGAACTGTTTGGATGAAAGGAAAAAATTTGGACCAATTTTTTTGATTTTTGAAACAAAAAATAAAAATAAATAAATAAAGTCCAAATGTTTTTGGCCCAAAAAGATAAGTATTGGGCCGGACAAGCCTAACCCAACCTCACACCACGCACCCACGTCCAAGCCCAGCCCAGCCCGTCCGACCGACAGGACGGCGGCGGCGGCATGCGCGTATGGTTTTAATTTTGGGTCCAGTGGGTTTAGCCCACCACACCCATAACCTCACCCTTCCACAAACTTGGGTACCCATTGGGGCTTATCCCAAGTATCCCAAGCTAAGGTATATAAACCCACTCAAAACCTCAAGCCTTTCCAATGTGGGACAAGCACATTTCACAAATGTGTAGGAAACCCACCAAAAAACTAGTTCCACAAACCCGAAAACGGCCGTTGAATTCTCATTCTTCCGAAAATGGTTTTGAGCAACTAAATACATGAATTTACTCACTACGCGACATTAAATTTGAACCCATTTAGAAACGTTAAAAGTAACGCTTGAGGCTCATCTTAATTAATGCTCAATGTTAGCAAAAAATAAGGATTTGCAAAGCCATTTTTCCAACAATCCCCCACATGAATGAAATTCATGATAACGGACATGCAACAAGATACAGAAAAAAAAAGAGTACATTAAGAAGATACACACTTCGAGATAGGTAGCTTTTGGCTTTGGACCTCCTCTAGTGAAAGCCTATCGGATTTGCTGGCTAACCAGTAGACGCGATGCCTTGAACTGTTCAGCTGTTTATGTAAGCCAAGACAATAGACTACATATAGTGTATCAGCAGAGACAGTTTGGTTCTGACAGTTGTGTTCATTTTGGCCCCGAATAACGCCTGGTGATTCATGAGCGCTCTAAAGAATTTAGCCTTCTCAATTCTCACAGAACCCGCCTATAAATATTTTTTTATTTTGTTATTGTAATGTGTTGTCACAACAATTTTGATGACACAATTTTATTTCAAATAAATGTCTTTTCTGTAAAATAAAAAAAAATTTAAAAAAACAATAGGTCAAACAATGCTATGAAAAATGTCTTTAATCCTGATTACAATAGCATGTAAAATCCAAATGTATAAATAGTGGTTGAATTTTTTTTTTTTGTAAATAATTATTTCATTTAATATTTAATTATAAATATTTTTATTTTGTTATTATAATGTGTTGTGACAACAATTTTTTTTTAATAACAATTTTTTTAATTATAATTTATTTTTAATTTTTATATGATTACATTAGTATGTAAAATTCAAACGTATAAATAGTGATTACATTTTTTTTACAATAATTTCATTTAATAATTTGTTTATTTAGTTAATTCAAATTTTGTAGAAAAATAATTTTGTAAACATTTAGAATAAATTAAAAAATGTATCAATGTTAAAAAATGCCACGACAAAAGGGTGTCAATGATGAACCCCCAAGTGATAATATTAGTTGGAAATTTGGAACTCCAGTTGAAGGCACTAGGCATCATATTATTTGCAAATTTTGTGGACATCTCATTAAAGATGGGAATATGCGTGTCAAACAACACTTGGCACATCAAGCAGGGCAAGTGCGTTCTTGTCCTAGTGTTAGTAGAGACGTAATGCAAGAAATGATGAAACGTTTACAAGATAAGAAAATAAGTAAAGCAGACAAACAAAAGAGAAAAGCTAAATTGGAAGCACATATTAGGGAGATGATTTCTATGTTGATGATAAAGGAGGAGATTTTGTAAATCTTCGAGATGATGACTCTGATTGTGATCCAGAGATGACTAGGGCTAGACAAGCAAGTATTCGTTCATAACAACAATGGGGGAAAGACAACAATTTAGATGAGGTACTGCAGGTCATGGATCACAATATGATGCAGGGGGTAGTCGTCAAAGAATGCCAAAAGGGTCAGGTATTGCTAATGTTTTTCATCGATCACAATCCGTGCATGAAACTGGTGGAAGTGGACATAATTGGATTAAACCCAATGCTATGTAGAACTCCAAAAGAGCAAGAGCACAAAGCAGCAAAAAATCTCTACAATGAATTTACAAAAGTTAAGTGAGAGATTGGGACGGACAGTGTTTAAGTTTATACTCTATAATCGTATTCCATTCAATGCAGTTGCTGCTGAAGTAGGGCCAGGAGTAAAGGGTCCTAGTGGTTATGAAGTTTCTGAAATATATTTGAACATGGAGCATGATGAAATGACAAAATGGATATGATCATTCAAGGGAATTTGGGCTGAGAGAGGTGTATCCATCATGTGTGATAGTTGGAGCAATCTAACTCGGCAACACATCATTAACTTCTTAGTATACTGCAATAGAGCTATTATATTTCACAAATCAATTGATGCCTCTAATATTATTAATAAGACTATTGAATATTATTTTGGGTTGTTAGATAAAGTTGTTGATGAAATTGAAGAGGAATACGTTGTTAAAGTGGTGACTGATAATAAACCTGCACTGAAAGCTGCCTGCAAAATGTTAATGAGAAAAAGAAAACATTTATATTGGACAGCTTGTTCGGCACATTGTATCAATCTCATGCTAAAAGACATAGCCAATAAGAAAAGTGTAGCAAAGGTGATTGAATATGGTAAAACCATGACCAATTTCATTTATAATAGTGGATGGGTGTTGGATTTAATGAGAAAATTCACTAAAAATAGAGAATTGATTTGACCTACCATCACTCGATTTGCTACAAATTTTATTGCCATTGAGAGTATTGTTAGATATAAACAACAATTGAGAGCTATGTTTAATAGTGATGAGTGGAAGAATTCTAGATAGGGGAAGGCAAAGACTGGGCAGCCTTACAAGGTGAAAAAAAAATTTATTTTGGAAAATGAGTTTTGGCAGAAAGCAACAGAACTTTGTAAAGTCATGAGCCACTAGTCAGAGTATTGAGGTTGGTTGATGGGGATGAGAAGCCAACAATGGGTTTCATAAATTAAGCTATAGATAGAGCAAAGTTAGCAATTAAAAGAGATTGTCGCTACTACATCGAGCATTGAAAAATTATTGATACTTGATGGTCTTTTCAATTGCATCAAGATTTGTATGCGGCTGGTAAGTGTTACGATTTCAATTATAAAATGTATATTTACTTGCAATTATTAATTATCCTTTTATTTTTGAAGGATATTTTTTAAATCTTCAATTCCAATATGGTGTTACCTCATCCAATGAAATACTAAGAGAAGTGATGGATGGACTTAAAAAAATAATTACCAGATTGGAGCCTAATATGGATGCTCAAGTGAAAGCAACAAATCAAACACGTACTAATTATTTAAATTTTAATAGTAATAATCTACTTTTGCAAATGTTACTCGTAATGATTGTCCAAATTGTAGTTGTTGTTGTTTCAAGATAAACATGAAACTTTTGGCACTCCTTTAGCACAAAGAGCATGGAAATAATCAAATTCAGGTTTTATTTTCAAAATTACAAATTTACAATATATGAATACTTAAATAATTTTCTATCATATTTTGACTTATGTCTAATGTAATGTAATTTTGTGCAACTGAGTGGTGGATTATTCATGGTAGTTGTGCTTCTGAACTTCAAAAAATAGTTGTGAAAGTATTAAGTCAAACCACCACATCATCTCACTGTGAACATAACTGGAGTACTTTTAGTCTCATCCATACGAAGACAAGGAATAGATTGAAATATAAGAAAATACA